CTATTGTGGAATGCTGTGGAGGAAACTATAGAGGTAGCTGCCCATGAACTCAGAATTCTTATCAAGTGTAATTCAATTAATAAATATTATTAAAGCTTACCATTGTTTGTATACACTCCCATCTGCCCATTTCCAGGTTTCACTATCATTGAGTTTGTTCAGTCCTATCCAATAGGTAGAAGGGGGCTTCAGCATTTGCATCAAAGTTTCCTGTTACAGAATACAGAATGTAATGTATATCTCCTAATTTTCTTATTCTTACTATATAAAATGCTATTGTCTTTTTTCTGAGTCTAATAGACTCTCTCCATATCCTTACCAGGGTTACTGCAATTGCCTGATGACATAATTCCCTGTTTTTGTATTTGTCATTCAGTAGCCAGTCTCACCACAGCAAAGAAAATAATTCTTGTGAAATTGAAGTCAGAGCACATTACACTTTTCCTGGTAATTCGATATCTCCTTATTTTCCTGGGAGCAAAGTCTTTACAGTGACTCACAAAATCCTACTGATCCATGTTCTCATTCCCTCTCTCATTTTAGCTGTATGGACTTCTTCAGGAAAATGAAGTGGTGACTGGCTGTCACCACTCTGTTCCTTGAATGACCTGGGCATGCATCTACCTGAAGAACTGTGCTTCAGCTGTTTCCTTTTGCTGGAGACCTTATCCACCAGATACTCCCTTAACTACCTTCCTTACCTGCTTTACATATTGACTTCATCATCACCTCAATGAGCTCTGACTTTGCCTTCAATCTACCCAATTAGCTAACTCATCATACCTGTTAATTTGTATACTTTCTGCATAAAACTTACTACTTTCCAGGATACTTTATAATTTAAATATTTGCCATCATTGTTTTTCATTGCTTGTGTCTTCCACTGGGATGTAACCTCCAAATGGGCAAAGATCTTTGGCTGGCTTTATGGACCAACATATCACACTGTACCCATACACCTACCATATAACAGCCACTCAATACATTCAATCGGATTAATCTTACAAAGGAGATATCTAACCATTTCCTTTGGGAAGTTGAACTTAGCCAGAGATGCGTAATATATTTTGCAGCTTTCCTGGCTGTTGCTCCAAGAAGTTTCATATTCAGATAACAAGAAGCAATATTTATGGATTCGGTTCCAGCCTTGTGGACATTTATTTAAGTCCAGTGAGCATGACTTATCTTTAAAGATCTTTGAAATTCCAACTAAAATTAACAGGACGATAAAGGAAAAAAATGAAAAACAAGTGTAAGAGGAAAAATCTGACCTTCATCATAAAAGATTCTTATATATTTCAGACTGATAAAATATATTTTACTTTTACATTCAGTTTGAAAGATCTAACTTTAAACATCAACTCAGATTAATGTTTGAGTACTGAGAACAATTAAACATCAAGAACAGAGCATGAAAGAAATTTGCACTGGAGAACGAATATCTATGTGTAACTTATAACAGCAATAACGACATCCAGAAATTTTCCCTCCCATTTTTTCATATTACTGGTATTTCCCTTATCCATTCATTTCATTTCTTAAATATTACTGTGCTGTCTGGAACAAGTTTCACTGTAAATAAGTTCCTCTATATTTATAACCTCAAAGAGCTTGTTTTCTATCAGTGAATTAACTGAGACTCAATTGTCTTTCAAAGACAACATTTTTCCAAAGTTGAAGATGTTTCTTTGTCTTTTGTCCTTAAACAAAATGCATTAGAAGGAAAAAATATGCTGAAATTTTATTAAATTTTTACTGCTTACTTTTACTCTTTACTGTAATAGATAGATGAAGTTACTTAAGATATAACTCAGAGAAACAAGATTTAAAGCTTCGCTTACACACAGCTGAAAAAAAATGAATGGCTCATACTAAAAACTATGAATAGGAGGATCCTCAAATGGAAGGATCAACTAGCAGTGAGGTCCTACTTCTGGATACCTGGCATGAAAGCCAAGTGAAAATATTATGGTCATTGAAATTATTTAAAAGTATTTGATTAAAAATCATTTTTTAAATGCCAAGTTTAAATTGACAACTAATAAAAATTGTGTATTTGATCCAAAATCTGGATCACCAGAGAGCAGTTGTCTCATTCATTCACTAATTTATTTAATCTTTCATTTATACATTCAACAAATACCACTTGAGAATCCACAATACCATGGACCCTTTTTGTAGCTCTAAGAATGCAATGACAAATATAACTTTAAAACATCCTTGCTTTTATAAAATTTACGTATCTGAAATTATATGCCTTGTCCTAAAAGAGGATCAGGATTGTTGGTAGAAATAGTTACAATTTTAGTGCGGACGTCAGGATAGGGTTAAATGGGAAGGTGATAAGCAGTAAAGGCTTGAAGCAGGTAGGCTAGAGGGGCAAATGCATATATAAAAGAAAATCATCTTTCTAGAACAAAGAACTGAAGTAAATGTGCCTGGCTGGTTCACCAAATAGTGAGAATATCCATGTTCCTGTGGACTGAGTGAAGAGAAGCAAATGGTATTTGAGGAGTAAGGTGGTGACTGGATCCAATAAGAGCACAACAGAGCCTTTGAAGGAATTTGGCTTTACTCCAAGTGAATGAAAACCTACTGCAGAGTTTTGAACATATCTAATTAGGATGTTTAAAATTTTATTAAAAACAAACTCTAGAGCTGTTGTGGTAGTGCATGCCTATAATCCCAGCAACTCAGGAGGCTGAGGCAGGAGGATTTTGAGTTCAAAGCCAACCTCAGCAACTTAAGGAGGCCCTCAGAAACTTAGCAAGACCCTGTCTCAAAACAAAAAATAAAAAGGGCTGTGGAAGTGGCTCAGAGGAAACATGCCCCAGAGTCAATCCGTGGTACCAAAAAAATAAAACAAAATAAAAACAGACTCCAGAACTGTATTTTCCAGTATGGAAGCTTCTAGTCACATGTTGTTATTGAGTACTTAAAATGTGTCTGGTCCTAATTCAGATGTCCTGCAAGCATAAAATTTATACTGAATAAACTCAGAAAAAAAAGAAAAGGTAAAAGTCTCATAAATAATGTTTATACTGTTACATGGTGAAATGCTATATAAGGCTAAAAGAAAATATAATTTCAATGACTTTTACTAATTTCCTTTTCGTTCTTAGTGTTGCTTCTAGAATTGTAAATTACATATGTACATGTAATGACTTGCATTATTTTTGTACTGGACTGTGTTATTCAAGGAGACCAAGGTTGGAAGAGGGAAGAACATTAGAAAAGAAATGATGGCTAAGTGCTGAGCAAAAAGTGCTCAAACTCTGTTTATAGTTTGAAAGACTAGGCAGATTTTGCTGATTATATTTGGAACATGAGTTTAAAATGATTGTAAGGGTTTTGGGCTTTAAAATTAGAAGGATATATTTACTATTTTCTGGGATAAGGAAGATCACAGATAGAGGAGGTTATGGAAGAGAGAGAGATTAATATTTCAGCTTAGACAACGTTGAGTTTTAGATATCTTGAAAGCCAAGTAGGCAGTTGGACTTAAAAAGTTTGGCAAGAATTCCAGATTGGAGATGTATACTGGGGTTATTTGTGTGGTAAAGTTCTAGTTGAGAACACCAAGGTACAAGGGTTGGAAAAGAGGGGATTCTCTTCAAGGACTGAGCCCTGAGCCGTTCCAAAGGTAAAAGGTCAGGAAGAAAAGAGAGAACAAGTTAAGGAAATGAATAAAGAACAATAAAGTGGGTAGGAAGCAAATGCGGAGAATATCTTATTTTGTAAGCCAAATGAAGACATTATTTTTAGGAAGAAGGAGTGCCAAAGACTTGGATAGGTTCAGTAAGATAAAGACTGACAGTGGCCCACGAGATTTAGCTATACTGAAATTATTGGCAAACTTGAAAGACAAGTTTGGTGGGGGGAAGTGGATGGGGAGTGGAAGCCTGATCAGAGTGAGTTTAATAGAAAATGATAAGGGCTCAGTGTGTAGCCCAATGGCCAAGTGTGTTTTAAGCATGAACGGGGCATTAGATTCAATCCCCAGCCCAAATATAGGAGGAGAAGGAGAGGTGAAAAGAACAGAAGAAAAAGGAGAGCAACTAGTGCTATACCTAAGCTTTATAAATATTTATCAAATGACTGGTTATTCTAGAAGGTAGAGCTGGGGACTAAATTTGAAAAGCAATTAAATATCCTGGCTTATAGAACAGTTTCTGATTTCAGCTATTTAAAATTAGGGAAGAAAAAATATAGTCATTGGTTTCAAACTGGATCAATAATCATACAATTGACATTTTTTAGCAGAAATTGTTAACTTACATTTTCTAGGAAATCTTAAAATCCCCCAAAGAAGGAAAGCAAGGGTTCCACATGCCAAACTTGAAAGGATTATCATTTTCTTTCTTACTGTACATAAGGGAAACAAATGTCATTATGTTTTGGAGAAACACAAGCTAATCTCTCCTCAGTATGTTCTCCTGTCCACAGCCCAGTAAATAAAATATTAGAAAATGCAAAAGGGTAAGATGTTACAACTCCTCAGCAGCAGCAAACTCAAAAGTGCTTTGGCTCTACTTTTTGGTGTCATTTTGTGAAGTTATGCTATTCATTCTCCTGCCTAGATTCTAGGACAAAACTGGAGTTTCATCCTGAGGCAATTTAATGAAATGCTGTTTTTTTTCCAAGGGGGACAGGGGTAAAGTGAGATGTATTCCCCCTTTTAAAAAAAAAGTATTTGTTTTATTAATGGAGACTGCTTTCATTTTATTTCAAGGTGCTACCCCCACCCCAAATGCTGAGGTTCCAGGCAAAATACGGAAAGGATGCTGGGGATAATCACAGAACGTACATTTCTGAGCCGGTGGACAAACTGTTAACTCTCTTACCCATCTGGTCGGTCTTGGGCTCCTCAGCTTTCTTATTCTCAGCCTCTTCTCCCCCTGCTTCCAACCGATTTGAAGTTTCCATGATCACAGAGGCTGGAATAATCCTAGGAATAAACTGATAACTGCTAATTATATTTGGTGATTACAAATGCAAGAAACAGGGCCTAGTTTTCTCAGAGGGTGGCGCCGCAGCAAGAATGTATGGGAAACAGTGCTACGGTCTAGTAACCTCTGCTCAGTCCTGCACACTGGACTTTAGTCAGAGTGACCCACGGGTATTTCACTTGTTCCATCCTCACAGGGAAAAATACTTCGGAGACGGTAACGGCAGCGGGCCAGCACCAACGGTAGGTACACCTGTCCCAGCAGCGATGGCTCAGGCGCCTGGGATTGGCTGGCTTAGCGCAGTGAACACTGAGAATTCAATCTCTGATTGGCACTTATCTCCCACCTGATAACTAGTCCAAGCAGAGGATGGGTATTCTCATTTTTTTTCTTCCCTCTTTTTCCTTAAACTTCTTTATGCAGTCTCCTTAAAATCTTAAATCTGATAGTAATATAAGACATGAGCTAGTAATGTTAACAATACACATCCTTTTGCACCCTACTCTAGATCTTACCCTCACCCCATTGTTTTATTGTTGTGTTTTCTATTTTTTAAAATATTTTTTTCTGCTCCGTTTTTTGGTTTTGATTTTTGGTTATTTATTTATTTATTTATTTTTAAATTCTGAGTTCTAATTTTACCTACCTGTTTAGTTAAATTTGGGGAAATAGCCCTTGTTTGTGTAGTAACTGAATTAAGGTTTGTTTTTGGTCTAGGCAGTCTTCACTTTACACATTAGTGCAGGATGATAAAAATTGCCAACCATTGGCCCTCACTATGATTACTTGGGATTGACCTTAAAACTATTCATGTGGGGAGAAATCTAAGTCTCAGAATGAGTTTAATGGAATGAAAGAATACAGTAAATTTCTAGGTGTTCACAGAGAACTAAAGTTCTTTAAAAACTTCAGACTTACCTATTTTCCTATCCTCGACCCCCATTTATACGGTCCTTCCATCTTCATGAATGTGGCTAAGGATTATGGGTTAGTGGTTCTTCCATGACCATAAACTTGGTAATGTCATTTCCTGTTAGGTAAGAAGAAAAATAGTCAGAACCTTAAGAAATATTCCAGTTGTACAAATTAATTTTTAACATTATGATGTTTTCTGGACACTCGAGTTTGTATTAAAGAGTTTTTCTTCTCTATTTATTTCATTAATTCTTACATAAGGAAATATTTGCTGATACTCAAAAGGTACCACATATTTTAAACCTTGAAATCATTGCATATACCCATGATTTTTCCCATTTGGTCATGTTTTTATAGTACTAGATTTTCAGAATGTGTATTTAAATTTTTTAGACACAAAGAAGAAAAAATAATATTATGCAGAGCTACATTTAGTGGGACTTGGAATCCAACTCCCTTGAGATGCAGTAACCAAAACTAAGGAATATACTGGCCTAGCAGGGTCTCGGTAGCTGGCAGGTAAAGATCTGAAGGTAGGATGAAGGCCAATTAGCTACCTGACCATCTTCACTTGCCTGGCCTCGACCCTCAGGACTACTGCACAGACCTTATGGGGCACTTGTTTCCCACCATATCTCTACTTTCTGGATGATATAAGGGAAGGGAGAGGTAGGTGCTACCAGACCAAGCATCTTATGTATAAGTACCTATGCTTCCCTTTTGTGTTATTGTTCTGGTAGTCTCAATTTAGAACTTTGGTTTAAAGTTTCTTTTACATGAAAAGACTGTGCAGAAACCACAGTAGCTATGTCCTTTGGTTTTATAGTTTGGATCTTGAATGACATGTTAAGGCCCAGGTGTTGAAGGCTCAGTCCCCAGGGTGGTGCTAGTCAGAATGATGTACTTTCTGTGAGTTGGAAGGTCTTTAGGTCACTGAGGGACCCTTGAAGGAAGAGATTGGTGGATTCTAGGCCCTTCTTTCTCTTTTCTCTTGCTGGTCATGAAGTGAGTGTTGTTTATTTTTGTGTTTTCACCACACACATTCTTGCCATGATGTACTACCTTGCCATAGTCCCAAAACTATGGGGCCAGTCATTCAAGGACTGAAATCTCCAAAACTATGAACCAAAATCAAATTCATAGAACTTTTCTCCTTACAAGTTGATTATCTCAGGTTTTTGGTTATAGTATTAGAAAGATGACTACCATATTCAGTACCTTTTCTGAAGCTTATAAAGTCTAGGACCTAGAATGGCAGCAGTCATTTAGAAAATATTAATTAGACATAATTCACATACATATTTGACAAATACAGTAAAAAGCATTGGATTGGGTTATGGATAGGTTGACTGATAGATGAGTGGAAGGTCAGGGTCAGTACACTTTGTGGAGTGGGAATAAACCTCCTTTACCATTAAAATAATCTTTCTCTCTATATAAATTTTTCTTCATTTCTCAATCCACTCTACTGAGTAGTCAGCCCACTCTACTGAGCTTATATAGAGAGTGGCCATATTTAGCAACTTAATATACAGGATTCCATGTTTCTTTGAATTTCAGATCAACAACAAATATTGCAAAGACCACAAAATACAAATATTGTATGAGAAATATTTGCATTAAAATTGATTCTTTTTATCAAAAATGCAATTTTAATTGAGATACCTTGTACTTTATTTGTCCACCCTACTTAAGTCACAGCAGTTTTTCTTTTCTTTTAAATTATTAAGTACTCCAAAGGTTGGTCTAGATTTTTTCATGTACTAAATCTCTATTAAACTTATCTGTAAAAGCGTCAGGTATCGATACAACCCAAGTACTGACCACAGGAAAAGAATGTTCTACAAAAGAAATGGAGAATTAGGACAGGGTACACTATTAAGCAAGTTACTACTGTGAACAACCAGAGTTTAATTTATCAGGGTGCTTTAAAGAAGCCAATGTAAATACTATTCAGATGTCTTCCTGTTCCTCCATCAGGAGTGGAGAGGTTTCTGTCTCTTTCCCCCAGCTGCAACAGGTTTTCACCTGGAGCCTGAGATGGAGACTTAGCTGCTTTATCCTCAGGCCCCAGGCTTTTGGTCCACAGGGAAGACATTTCCAAGAGGAGCTTTTTGTCTTTTGTACAATGGCTGCTGCTCATCTCTCCAAAAACTATAACATAAGGGAAACTTTCTAAAATCCCCTAATCTACTCTCAGCCCTTCACCATCTGGAGAGTCTAGAAAGTGCTATCAATGAGTGTGACTCTTTTGGAGGTGGTTGCCAAGGGTTCTATTCTCTCATGCAATCTTACTTACTCTCCGTCTCCTGTGACTTGTTAATTTACCTAAATGCTTTAAAATATGTGTATGGGTTAAGTGCCTACACCACATGTATAGGACTTCACATTCTGTCTCTTCTTGGAGGTTCTTATCTTTCCTTAGATTTCAGGTGAATTAATTGCCTTATAAGCTGAGATCTCTGATAGATTCAGGAAATGTAATGAATTTGCTGGTTATTAGATTTAATTTGTTCTTGTAAAAGTGGGAGTGCTGGGTTGAACTGAGTCTTCCCTTGGGCAGCTGTCTGCTACAGTAATCCAGTCCTGGAGTCCTTATAGGTGAACGTGTTTGGTTATGGAATGGGAATAAGTAAATAGCGATACTTTGAAATCACAACTCATATGATGGGTAAGAATTAGCTTGTGTTATACTGGTCTGTATCAATTTAGCCTCTGTAAGTTTCCACATTAGCTGGCTACAGTGAACTTAGGGCAACTCATTGGCATAAAGTCCTTCAGTAATGACTTATGTGATTGTTTTAGGTGCACTCTACAGATATAGATACAAAGGTTGGGGCTTGCATTTTCTATAGTAAAAATGCTGAGGTAGAGAAAATAAGGAAGGAGCTACATTTTTCTTTATTATGCCATTACTAAAATGCTTAGAATGCACTTCTTAGTCATGAGAGTAGAGGAACTTATGACTAACCAGCTTTGTACCCAAAGTACCCATGTGAAAACTCTGGACTCCAATCCCTAGTGTCTGCCCAGACTTTCCACATACCTGCACATTGCACAAGAATTTCACAAGAGTGTGATGGGTGAGGGAACAAATGAGCAACTGCCATTACTTCTTTGTGCTATTTTCCTCTAATGAGTCTCATTCCAGAAAATAATGTGCATCAGTTAGTTGATTTTATACACACACACACACACACACACACACACACACACGCACACACAAACACACATACATACACTGGATATTATATATATATATAATATCCAGTATATTTATATATTCAGTATGTGTAATGCAAAGAACAAAAGGGAAGTTTCCAGTTCTGGACACAGAACTGGGGCTTATATCTGATGAAATCTCCTACAAAGAAATAATTACAAATTACAAATGTAGGAAAAAATTCATAAAATGAGACTTCCACGATGGCGGGCCAAAGGGAGGCAGCATTCTGTGTCACTCCATGACCCAGATCTCACTTAGTCAGAATACTGCATCTCAGAGAGTATAAGAGGACTCCTATATAGCTGATTTTCACAGGAATCACCAGCACTGTGACCCCCGAGCAAGGCTCAGAGCCTCAGTGTTTGAACAGGACTCCGAACCCCGGTGCTGGAAACCAAAACCCACAGTTCTAGCCCACGCACGGCTCTCAAGTAGCTTAGGAGAATCACCTATCAGTATCTCTGCAGAACTGTGCTCCACACCCATACAGGTCACTGTGCTACTACCTACACACAGCACAATGCCATCACCTGGCTCCCCCCACCTCACCAGACACCCTGGTGCTAGAAGCAGACCAACTCCATCTTGGATAACCTTTCTCGCCATCTTTGTTAGGGGCAGCTCTCAGATCGGATCTCCATCTGGCCAGGTACCTGGTATCCAGCTCCCCCCTCCCCCCAGTTGTGATAACTCGGCACAGTGACCACTCAACACAAAAAAGCTCCTAGCTGGGCAGGTGTGCAGTGCGACCAAGGCAGTGCCCACCTGGTGTGAGCCTAGGGGTGAGAGGTCCTGCAGGTGGGAACTGCTAATTGAGAGGGGATGGGACTAAAGTTTGGAGTCTAACAGAGAGACCAGGAGCTGGGAAATCTCCAGGCAAGAGAGGGAGAAAATACCGCATGTTCAAGTCAGACGACCAGTACCAAAAAGAGACCCTTGAGGTGTAGTCTCCCTGCAGAGACTGGCAGGAGGTGGCACTCCCCACTTCCAGATGCCCTACACCAGGACCAGTCTTCCCACCCTGGTTACCTACACCATCCTGAGGCAGAGATACCATCTTAAAACAGACAATCCCGCCTGTTGGATGAGGAGAAAAGAAAAGTTACGAATCTCTAAAACTAGCAACAACCTTGGTTTCTTCTTTTGAGTTTTTTTCCCCTCTTTCTCTTCTACCTCTCTATTCTCCAGCCCTCACATCACCAACATATATAAAACCAAGAACTTTGCATGAAATAGGATTTTGAGAACTGAGTCACTTGAATAATATAATATATAGGCATTGTATATGCCATTTTTTCCTATTTTTTCTTGTTTTATTTTATTTCCCCTCCAAATTTTACTATTTTAACATTCTGCGTTTTTTCAAATACATAAGTATGTTAGTGGTTTCAAGTACTCCACTGTCTTCCCATGTATTTTCTAACCTAATTTTCTTCCTGTCTATTCTTTTGCTTCTAACCCTCTTCATTAGAATTCTTTCACACTTCCTAAGACATATTATCTTAGGAAGATATATTCACCATCAGAAACTGTAAACCTTTTTATGAAACTACTGTTTATATCTTAGATAAAAATTGAATCCAACATTTCTGGACATTGAGACTAAACTGTAAATGTCTTAATAACAACAAGTTATTCATAGGTGATATATTGTTGATACTGGGATCTGTTAACATTGTCCTTCCCCACAAAGAAGAGGTCTTAGATCCCTACAAGAGCACTACAAACCTATAAGGTAAAAACACTAACAATCTAGACCCACAGAGCTGGAAAGGAAGACACATGAGCAACACAAAAAGAAAAGGGAAGAAAGTACCACAAACAAATCAAGACACCAATCATTAGAATCATTGGCAGCCACAGCAGAAAAAAATGACAAAGAAAGAATTCAAGATGTACATGGTTAAAATGTTCTGTGAACTAAAGGAAGATATAAGAGACCAAATACAAGCAGTGAAAGATCGCTTCAACAAGGAGCTACATAAACAAATCCAAGAAGCAAAAGATCACCTCAACAGGGAGATAGAGGTTCTAAAAACAAAACAAACAAAAAAACTGAAATCCTTGAAATGAAAGAAAAAATAAACCAAATTAAAAACTCAAATGAAAGCATTACCAACAGAGTAGATCGCTTGGAAGATAGAACATCAGACAATGAAGATAAAATATATAATCTTGAAAAGAACATAGACCACACAGTGATAATAATAAGAAACCATGAGTAGAACATTCAAGAAATATAGGATAGCATAAAAAGACCAAATTTAAGAGTATGGGATAGAGGAAGGCATTGAGATCCAAACCAAAGGAATAAACAATTAATATCAGAAAACTTTCCAAACATGAAGAATATATTGGAAACCCAAATTCAAGAAGCCTACAGGATGCCAAATGTTTAAAATCACAACAATCTACACCAAGGCACATTATAATAAAAATGCCCAACGTACAGAATAAGAAGAGAATTTTAAAAGCCATGAGAGAAAGGAATCAGATTACATATAGGGGAAAACCAATTAGGATAACAGCAGATTTTTCAACCCAGGCCCTGAAAACTAGAAGATCCTGGAATAAAATACATCAAGCTCTGAAAGAAAATGAGTGCCAAATCTTGTATCCAGAAAAAATAAGCTTTATATTTTAAGATGAAATAAAAAACTTTCCATGATAATCAAAAGTTAAAAGAATTTATAGCTAGAAAACCAGCACTACAAAATATCCTTGGCAAAACATTCTACAACGAGGCAACGAAAAACAATGAAAATAGGCAGAGGGAGGTAGTACCATAAAGGAAAAATTAATCAAGGAAGAAAATCAAGTCAAGTTAAATAACAAAAATAAACAAATATGGCTAGAAATACAAACCATGTCTCAAAAATAACCATAAATATTAATGGCATAAACTACTAATCAAAGGACATAGGCTAGCAGATTGGATTTTTAAAAAAGACTCAACAATATGCTGCCTACAGGATACTCATCTGATATGAAAAGACACACACAGACTAAAGGTGAAAGTTTGGGAAAAATCACACCACTCACATGGACTGCAGAAACAAGCATGGGTTTCCATCCTCATATCAAATAAAGTAGACTTCAATCCAAAGTTAATCAAAGGGGATAAAGATGGACATTACATACTGCTCAAGGGAACCATACACCAACAAGACATAACAATTATATATGCCCCAAACAATGGTGCAGCTATGTTCATCAAACAGAGTAAGATTTACTAACAAAAATTAAGAAAGATTTACTAACAAAAATCAAGAAACATTAAAAAATAATCATTTCTCATTTCCCATCTTAACTTTCATACTGATCAAGAATACTAAGAATGTTGAGTCAAATTAACAGAACACAAACCTGGATGATCTTAGGAACTCTTTCTCTGCTTTTGGAAGCTTAGCTAAGTGGGTCATATTGATAGAGGCTGTCTATAGAAAGACAGCAAGGCTGATCTTAGTTTTTCTAGCCTACAGAGCTGATCACAGAGCCCTCACAGACCTTTACCATAAGTATGAAAGTTCCCAGTGTGGCTTCTAGGCCCAAGATCCCTTATTATGTCTCTTGAAATTTAGAGAAACAAGGCATTCTAAAGCTCCCCATAGGCTATACCTATGCGGCAGTGTGAAGGATGTTTTGTGCTCTCTCACTGTAGTTGGGAGTCACTTTTTGTGTGCATTCAGTCTCCTAGTCAAGCCAATCCTTCTACTGGGATCTTGCCCATGATGCAGACAGAACACTTAAACTAGTCCATTACTTTGGATTAGAGAATGTTTTGTGAACTGCATCTTTTCTATTATATTTCTGCTTAAAAATAAATTCCACTTATAGCCATATTATGTGGAACTAATAATTTGTGTACTTTTGTGCTATAATAATAATAATATACAAACACAATTTCAAAAAATAGTTTATAGTCAGGTGCAGTGTTGCACACCTGTAATCCCAGCTTCTTGGAGTCAAAGGTAGGTGGGTCACAAGTTCAAGGCTAACCTGAGCAGCTTAGCTTAATCCTGTATCAAAATAAAAATAAATAAATAAATAAAGGGTTATGTATGTTACTCATTGATAGAGTACCCCTGGGTTTAATCAGCAGTTCTGAAAGAAAATAAAGCCAAACTTTATTTTGTTGGTAAATATATAGAAATAAGAAAAAGGAAGAAATATGAGGAAGAAAGATATTTCCTCTTGCAACAGCTCTCTCTTTCGTCTGAGGTCAGAGACAGACTTGTATGCAGACATATGAGAGACTGGTATAGTAAGTTTATGATCAGAAGCTTACGCTTCTAAATTTAAGCCTCAGTTTAGAAGAAGTTTAGTTACAGATCTCACTTAACATTCAAGGATTAGCTGTCCTGCACCTTTTTAAAAAACACTTTCTCAAATTTTCCTTGAATATTCACCAATGTCTGAAGAAATTACTTATGCAAATCTAAAATTCCAGGACTCCAATAAGACAGAAACTACCCAGGATCTTCAAAAATTGGGGGAAAAAGGTAAGATTTTCAGCTATGGATGTGTTGTAAGGTGGCAGAAGTGGTTATACTTCCCACTTCAGGTATGAGTGCATGGATATTGGTATCATTTGATCTGAATTTTTAATCAAGTCTCCCATTTTTACCAAATGTATCAAAAGTAGCCAAATTAACTGACTATAGGCTTTTTCTTTTTCTAAAATCAGTGATGTATACACTGAACATTCTTAATCTTTTACAAGTCTACTTATTAATGTTACACTCAAGATACATTAAAAAAAAAGATATTTTCTAATGGCTGGGTTGTCTAAAGTGTTTTTCCCTTCTTTAGATAAAGCTGTGGAACAAGGAGAATATTTTGCTCATAAAAGTCATAGATTTTTATGTTTCTTTTTTGAAGGAACATGATTGCATGTATGTATTTAAAAGAGAAAGAAATAATTTTTGTTTTTGAAAGTATTATCTTTGGTACTTGACTCCCAATTCATCTCTAATTTCCTTTCGACCAGCTTTTTGAGGCTTCTTTTCTTGCTGTCTCATGGAAACTGTTCTTGTCTAGGTCACTGATGGCTCCCCGTTTCCTCCCAATAGTCATGTCTTTATTATTTGTTGCTTCACTTCCCTACATCATTTACAGAGTTGAACATTTCTTCTTTTGCAAACATTTTCTCTGCACATTCTTCTGGACGTGGTTTCTGATGTCACAGGCACTGCTGTTTCTGCTTTTCCCTCCCCTCTGTATCAATGTTTATTCGATGGAGTACCCCAGGGCTCTGTTCTGGGTCCCCTTTTCTCATGTCACTCAATATGCTCTTGTAAGTTGCTTCATTCTGTCATTTGGTTTCAAAAACAATGACTTCAAAATATATTCTTAGGACTTTCCCCAGGATCTCAAGACTAGAAAATCTCAAGACTGCTTCTCAATTTTATATGAAGTTATTTTATTTATTTATTTATTTATTTATTTATATTTCCTTGAGTAAATATCATTTTTCACATTGACCAGAACGCTACAACCATTCTATTTCTGTTTTTCAAATAGAAAGCTTTCCCCCAAATTAGGATTGTTGAACTAGACATTTTTGCTGTATGCAGTTCTATTCCCACTAACTTTGTATGCTGATTCCCACTTTCCACAAGTTCTAAACTACTTACTTTCTAACTCATAACTCAAACTTCAAATTTCAAACTCAGCTTCAAATTTCTGTACACTATAGTCCAATGTGAGATTTATCTATCCATCTATTCATTTGGTTCCTCTCATAATAAAATATGTTTCCATGAGAACATAGACTTGCAAGTCTTGTCACTTCTATATCAGTGGCAATCACAATAGTGTCTAGCAAATAGAATGTACTCCATGATAGCTTTCAAATAATGGAATGCATAGACAAATTAGAAAATAATTTTTACAAAAGTTAGCACTTAAATTTGTAATTCTAACTTTAGGTATGATCCTGACCATGTAGTTCTTTTTATAATAACAATTTTCTAATGTCTAAAGGAATTAAGTTTTACATTTTATTTTCAATTCTCTCTGGATTTCACATTTTTGCACTATCAACTGTGGGATGTTAAGATATATTTCACAAACACAGTAAGATTATGACATTATCCTTGAATTGTATTTTCTTTACATATGATGACAAATTTAAATAACATAGCTATTTAATGATAATTTACAATATAAATTTTATGATTTTTGTAGGGAAATGATCTATTCTGGGCTTTACTACTCAGTAAAGAAAGAAAAGAAGCATTCGATAAAAGTTTTTTGCTAAAAAAAAAATTTAAAAAAATTGAAAATTCTGATCATTATATGGTATAGATCTAAACTAAGGAAGGCATGGAGCCAATAAGTATGTCGAAAATATTAGGGGTCCTGGGTACCCCAGGAGCTAAAATAAACATTCGGAGATTGATTAGCTCTGTTGAGAAGGCAAGAATTTTACTTTCATGGTACAGATGGGTGCACAACAATCAAAACTGAAAGGCAGGTGCAATGAATAGGCAGTCTGCTAGGCTTTTATCCCTGATGCAAGGGCACTGGGTTGTTGCCCATTAGTCGGGGCTAACCACACAATCTTTGGCTTGAACAGCCATTAAGGAAAGTGAGTACTTGACAGATACTCATTAGTCAGCTGAATTCATTATCTCCTACTGGGATATTTAAAGAGATGTATCTTTTAGTTGTCCCCCACCTCCCTTTGTTCCCTTGTTGTGGGAAAGTCCCCCTGGGTTGAGTGCTTTGGCACCTGCACAGTTTATCTCTGTTGGTCTGGTGGGTCCCTTCCTTCTCACCACCTTTTGTCAAGGGTCTGTGAATTTTACATTCACCTGTTAACTGCTTGTAACTTTGCATTCTGCTCTACCCTCCAGCTGCCTTATTTAGAACTCAAGTCATTTTACATTTAAAATTAAATACGTGACTGTATGACTAATGTGATTCTGCAATCTGTACACTCAGAAACATGAGAAATTATACCCCATCTGATTCAAATGTATGACATGTCAAGATCATTGTACTGTCATGTGTAACTAATTCAAACAATTTTTAAAAATTTTTAAAAAAACACCCTAAATACTGCATTTTAAAAATGGACCACTGGGATTTTCTATTTCTCATAAGGGAATACCTGGACATATTACAAAGAAACAGCCTATCTTGTTATGTTCTGCAACCAAACTAGGGGTTACACGGGGAATACATAAACAACTAAAAGTATTTCCTTTGATAAGCTGTAAACTATGCCTTAAAGAAAGGTTACTCAGATTGACTTCTCTGCTATTTGCCAGCTACTCATTTCCCCCAAATTTATACCCAAGATACACAGTATCAAGATTAACTGCTTTCTCTTCTTTCTTTTATAAACTTGGTCTTTGCCTTTTGGTTTTTTGAATCACTCTAAAAGTTTACCTCTTCACTTATGAGAACCATTTTGCATGACAAACAGCAAACTAACTCATCTGACTTATTCTTGATTTACAATTGAAAAAAAATATTTTAAAGTCCTTGAGTTTTTAGCAAATCACATTTCTTTTCCAGGTACATATTAGAAAAGAAATAAAGGCAGAATGAATTAACAAATGAATGAATCAAATTTTGCTAATGTTGTTTTCTACAGCACCTTCTGTTCCTTCCCCTCTATGGCGTCAATCAGCCTTGATCCTGACTCTCCTCTGCCTTCTGCTGCTCATTGGACTGGGAGCCTTGGGAGGCGTATGTATGTATTAACACTGTCCTGACTGAAAGGAAAGGCATCTAAAATGCTATGAATTTTACAGCCTAAGTTTATTCTTTGAATTAAGGGCTTGTAATAATAAGAGGTGTGTGCCCACAAATGAACCTTAATGTGGTTTATAGACTTTTAAATATTACTTCTGCAAAACAAAAAACGGTAAAAAATCAAAGCAAAACAAAACAAACAAGAATTTATAAAGGTGATAATTCTATCGAGGGTTTACAATTTTTTATCATCTCTCTCTCCTTTCTCCTTTTTTTTCAACTGGAGTTTATAAAACTTTGAAGTTAGAAATGGAAAAACTGAATAAACTGCAAAATATCAAAGAAGAACTTCAGAGAAATGTTTCCCTCCAACTCATGGATAACAACAGAAGCTCAGAAAATATCAGGAGCCTCTCTATCACACTGCAAATAGTAGCCACCAAATTGTGTCGTGAGCTATATAGAAAAGAACCAGGTAACCTTGTGTTGTTCTCAGAGTTACTAGCCATTAAAGTCACTTAAGAATAATTAGAATAAATTTTAATAAATAAATAGAATAAACCTTAAAGTCACTTAAGAATAATTTTATCACTAACCATTGTTTAAAGAAAGGAATTAAATTTAGTTGATGAAATTCTCATTGATATCTTTATGCAGTTAGAAGAAAAAAATAATCATAACTATAAGCTGCCAAATTATTAAGGAATGATATTTATGTAATAAAACAGACAACGTGTAATTTCTGTAATCTGCTATTACTATTATTTTAGGCTCTGTGGTCATTAGACAACAGGAAAGGAAGTACATCTTTTTGAATTACCTCATTCCAAATTGTAGTAAATGATGAAAGGCCATAGAAAAGAGATGCACTATAAGTGTTACCTTGGGAAATTGGTGTTATAACATTTCTATAAATTTGTATAGGTTTTTTTGTTTGTTTTAGTTCCTTGTGCCTCTGAGTAGTCTCTCCAATAGTGAACAAGTCAGAGAGCTACAGGTGCACTAGTTGGAGAAGGGAGGATTTCTACAGGTGTGTGTGTGTGAAACTGATTCTGACCATACAGAATATTCCCTGTGGTTAGTTTTTATTGCCATAAGTAAATACGAGAAATGATGAAAATTATCCAGGTCTCCTGATATAGTAAGACACACTTGAATCTAAGTTCTTACTTTAAAAATTTTGTTCAAATTATGTGTCAGACACATTTTTTGTGATATGTAGGAATGTAACATACAAGATTCATTTTGTTTCTCTTCCTTTCACCTAAAAAGAAGAAACACTGTAAATTTGTTCATTGTCACATAAAGTAAGGACATAATAACAAAGAGCATTCACAAAAAAATAAAATAAAACTATTTCTTCTTCCAGAGCACAAATGTAAACCTTGTCCAAAGGGATGGATATGGTATGGGGATAGCTGTTACATCATACTCAATCATTTTGAAACATGGCAAAACAGCGAAATTTTCTGTTCTGCTCGGAATGCCAGTCTGCTGCAAGTTAGGAACAAAAAAAAATCGGTAAGACTCCCCAAGTCTCTCAGCCTGTGAGAAAGGAAATCTCTTCTCCTATTATAAAATAGGAGTGGGGTATTTCCCAAAAGATCTGTATCAACCCATTCATGATTCTTGCTTATTTCAGTCAAAGTGCAAGGTAATTGAGACTTTGTATATTTTTCTCAGGGAATCACAGCCAAGGTAAAACACACAAAACCTTAGCTTAGGATCTTAGAATTAATAGAATCTTAGGAATTTATGGGTACAAGAATAGATCAGGGGTACCCAGAATCTTCAGGCCTGTGACCATTACCAAGTTGGTACTCTGGAATCAGGCCTCAGTATATTTATCTGAACATTTATCTGAAAACACAGGACCTGGAGATCATTCCTGAGAATTACCAATTTCATAAAAAGTATGTAAGAGGATATTTCTTGTTTATACCTTGTTGTATTTTTTCATTAAAAGAAAAAGTTTGGCTAACTATGCTATCACAAAACATATATAAATAAGTAGAAATTGAATGGTATGACAAGGGCAAGTACCAAGCAAATCTGCTGAACTGAGTTATGGGACCCAGAATAAGTGTTTTCTCTGTGCTTTATTTATTTTCTGATTTACTTTTTTCCTTTTTATCCAGGTCTAAAATTTTTTCCACATTTCTTACTATTTCTGGTCCCTCAGTAATCATATGTTTCTCAGCAAAATTATATTTCCTAAGCATATCAGCTTCTTTACTATAAGGCAATTTGGCATTCTTTACAGAAGAGGGGATATCAATCATAATTTCTTTCTCATTAAATTATTCTTAGATAATCCATTCATAGTTTTTTACTCAAGGAAAAATTTAAAGTCACGAATATGAAAGGACACATTGTTTTGACTACAACATTTGGACTGGTTCTGAATTCTGTTCTATGGCTATTTTTCTCCTATTCTGCTGCACCATTTTCCTACTCTGCCTTTTCTGTTAATGCTCCATTACACTCAATAACTACTTCCTTTGCTCTTGACTGAATATTTACTGCTCAAATATCCAACCTTGTTAGTTATGCCATGAACTGACTCACTCCCTATTAGACAGAAAGTGATACTGTAAAACTGCTGAAATCTTTAGGTTAAAATCATTTTCAACTTCTTTTAAATGGCATTGAAAATTAGTAGTACAGTATCAAAAATACTAAGAAAGTAATTTGTCAGAAATTACATTGTAAGGAAAGTACAACAGAACATATATTTTTTAAAAAACAGATTATTTCTATTCCCTATAGCAATCCATAAAATCCTTTCAATTATATGACTTTTGGCTGGGATTATCTCCTGGAAATTATCACATGAATGTTGAAAAGCTGGATGACATAATTGCCTCTTCTGCTTGGTAAGTCTCTATTCTTGTTGTATTTTTATATTTGGGTTTAAGTTTAGATATTTTTACCAAGAGCACTGTAAGTAGCAATTAGCAAGCTTTCATTGTGATTGCATCCTTGAAGATCCCTGATCTGTCATATTTACTTGATGTGTTTGGTCATACAGAAAATTACCACAAATGTATTCTCATTATATTGACAAATCACTAACAAAGTCATAGTAGCCAAATTTAGGGAAGTGTCTATATAAATAATCATTTTTTCCTAAGGAAATTATGAAAGCCAAAAAAATTCACTGGACCCTAACAAGTACTTAATAATATGCTAAATTCTGGGATTCATAGATGTATGAAAGATCGATATATTCCTTAAGTTACTTAAACATCAATCATATGTGAAGACTAACTAAATAATTCTAGGGATTAAAAAGACCATAATGTGATAAATGTTTCAGTCAGAAAAACAGATTATCCAAAAATATTTTTGGATTTTTAGTTATAATTGACACATAAATTAGAAAATTTTAGGGAAAAACTGACCAGAAGAACATTTCGTTGTAAAGAATAACATGAACTTTAGCATGGTATACTGAATATGTGTGTAAGTGTGTGTATAATGCAATATGTAATGCACATATATGTATATGAAATAATTAATTACATAATCTATTTAAGAAAGTAGTTACACTACTATAAATGGGATTATACATTGTATTTGTTCTGCTTGTAATGGGAAAAACATCAAGGTTTTACATAAAAACATGTCAAAATACAATTTGTATTGTATAATATCTGAAATTTGGAAGCTGGCCACATTAAAGAAAGAAATCAGAGTGTTAACGTGCTGAACACTGTTGGGAGGCCAACATTTATCCCAAATTCTTAGCTGAGGACACATCAAGTGGGGGCAGTTCAAGCAACTGCACTGGAATGATCCCACTGACTCAATACTGAGATTTCTGAATATTCATCAGCCCAGCCACATAGCAAATAGAGATTTTTGTTTTGTTTTATGCTCTTGTTTTTTTTCCTTCAAATATAAATAGTATAGGAGTGTGGATCAGAAAGATGAGATGATTCTCTCTTTGGTGGCTGGCAATGACAGGAAGAATAGGAGATAAGATCTGCATAAATGAAGGGGAGACAAATATATGTCTGAAAGGTCTCATTTGGCATTTAAGGTCTAGATGTACAGGTGTGTTAGGAGAGGTGGAATCTTGTTTTGAAAAATCAGAATATATGTGTGCTTGCAATTTTTGCAAATGGAAAGATATTTACAATGGAATGGAATACATGGTGGACATTTCAAATTATTAAGAAATAACACTGAAATAAAATGTATATAATCATCATATATATGATTTATATATGTACATGTTATTTTTTGTTTTGTTCCTTTTCTTTTATTAGTGCATTATATTATACATAATAATTGGATTCATTTTGACAAAATCATACATACATGCAATTTAAAGTACCTCATTTTAGTCCCTGGTTGCCCTCTTTACCTCCTCTCCTCCCTCATCCTATTTCCTTCTGCTGCTGTACTGGTTTCTTTTGGATAAACACCAAGGAGTGGAATAGCTGGATTATAGAGAAATTTTATTCCTAGATTTTTGTGGAATCTCAAAAAAAATCTTTCCAGGGTGGTGACTAATTTTCAGTCCCACCAACAATGTATGAGTATACTTTTATCCTCACCTCATCACCTGCATTTATTATGTTTTTGTATTTTTTGATAGCTGCCATTCTGACTGGAGTGAGGTAAAATCTCAATGCAGTTTTTATTTGCATTTTCCCGATTGCTAGAGACGTTGCACATTTTTCATATATTTGCTGGCCATTTGTGTTTTTTCTTTTGAGAAATATCTGGTTAGTTCTCATTCTCATTTCCTGATTGTGTTATTTATTTTCTTGGTGTTAACTTTTCTGAGTTCTTTATATATTCTTGATATTAATCTCCTGTCAGAGGAGGAGCTGGCAAAGATTTTCTCCCATTTCTTAGGCTGTCTTTTCACACTCTTGTTTCCTTTGCTGTGCAGAAGTTTGATTTCTTTGCAGGATCTTTATTTTTTTATTGAAATGGTCTTTCATCTGTAATTGTTCTCTTAATTCATTCCTTAGTTCAGTAAACATTTAACTAATAAGTTTTTATAAATCTTTCTCTGGAATTTTGCCCATTTCCATATCTGTAAGTTCCTTTGTTAGGGGATTGTGAATTTGGGGAGGAAATTTGTTTGCCTATTTCCTCATGTTTTCAGAGTCTTGATTTTCCTCATCCATTGATCCATCCATGCATGTATGCATCTATCCATCCATCCATCAATCTTTTTCTTTTATACATGTGTCCTTTTGTGTTATCTTTTTGTTCTAGGGACTTCTTTGTTTTTTTTTTTTTTTTTATGTACAAGGTGATGTCCAAAAGTAGGAACTGGAATCCCCTCTAGTTGTTCCTACTTGGGGCCTGGTTATTGATTTGGGATTTTTGTCTCCCCTATTCTACATGTTTGAGTATTATTGAGGCTTGAGTGAGGGCAGCTCATGTTTGGGGTGAGTTTTGCTATTACTTGCCTGAGTTGTGAGCAGTGTTCAGCAGCGGGATCCTCTGTGAACTTGGAGTGGCACAATCACTTTCCAGTCAGTCTTAGAAGAAGGGGGAGCCTAGAATAGAAATAATCTTTGCAACAGATGTACAAGCCTTAAAATAAATGCCTGTGTCTACTTTGACATCTATGACACTAATTACCATCGATATAGGAATGATGAGATCAGCATTTAACACCAGCATCAACAATAAACAACATGAACTAGATCAGATATTAAACAGCTGATGTCTACTATGTCATCCACTCTATTATAGGGTAGGAATTACATAAACTTTATAATTCAGTTAAAGAGTAGAATTATAGATTCTTAAGTAAAGAGAAAATAGGGTAGGAAGGCAAGATAATTTTAAAATATTTAAACAGTGAGCAGAGGAGAAGCAGGAGATGAGTAGCAGATGATGGCTGTAAACATAGAGGAATAAAAAATAACTAAAAGTAACAAATTAATGAAAGAGAGGAAGAGGGAACAGGAAGATTTGGCCATTAGTAGGGGAAGAGAGTTCAGAAGGGGTAATTATAGGAATAAAAACCAAGGCATAAACAAATGAAAGATCAAGACAACTCAAACTCACATAAAATTTTACCTCACTAAAGTCTGAGATTAAATAATAATCAGGTAAAAAAGGAAAGCAAGTAGAATGATGTTAATACACACACACATACACACACCTCTGTGCAGTGGGAACACAAACACACCCATATACACCCACATATGCACACAGAATCATGCAGAATGGAAAAAGTAAGAAATAAAAAAATAAAATGAGATTAAATTTTTTAAAACAATTTTAAAAATGAGTGCAATAGAATAAAGAAGAATAAGAATTCTTAATGAGAAATAAAGGGCTTTTTCCCACTGTGGTGGTAAAAATGTTGGCAAGGATGGATTTTCATTGCTTATGCTGTTGTGCCATTCTTTGCATTTATTTGTGGGCTCTGTAACCCTTGGGTCAATGGTTTGGGGTTGTGTAGTCCAACATCTTTGTGTTCACCAAGCTTCCAGTCATTGTGACCAGGAGCCAAAGCTGGTTGTGTAGCTATCAGCTTCCCATCTCCCAGTATTGGATTGGATACACTAGGGAGTCCCAACAAGGGGTGTCCACTAGTGGGAGGGCTAGTACAGTTCTAAATTGGAAGTTCCAGTAGTTGGGACTTAGTCTTGGCTGACCTTTGGAACTGAGCCATGAGTATTTGAGATTTGACCCACACCTTCTGTTGATGAAGACACTTATCTGTGCTGGACATCTAGGTCTCAGGGGCCTCCATATATTACATTTTTAAGGTGTGAAGTCTAAACATCCATAGGTCTTACATTCACCATGGATGTGAGTTACCCAGGATCAGACCAGGAGTGCAGATGGTCATTTCTGATCAGTTATTAGCATCTTCCCAACAGCTCATATGGGACACTAGCAACCAAGACAGCTCCCTCTCTCTCCTTGGTATCCCCCAAGCCTGGATTGCCTTAGGCACAAATCTCTTTGTGCCTGTATTAGTCACTGGGGCCCCACATTAGACAACTGTTCAGTCAAGCTGGAAACTTCTTTTATGAGTTCCAGGTTTCCTGCCTCTGCCTGATGCCACTTGGCCATTTATTAATGGTTCTTTCTGGCTGGTTACCCAGGTTCCGCCCAGACTCTCTGCCCCTTGTCCCCAAAATTTTGGTTGTTTTTCGCTCAACAATTTCACCTACCAATGCTAGGTCCATTAGGATTATCCTGCCTCTCAATTCCACAGGTTTCCCCAAGTCTGTCTGTCTGTCTGTCTGTCTGTCTGTCTGTCTCTCTCTCTCTCTCTCTCTCTCTCTCTCTCGATATATATATACAGATATATATATATATATTCATATATATATAGTTTTTTTAAAAAACTGTGTTTTCCTCTCTTTCTGCCTGTGCTCTCCCTCCTCTCAGCCACCCCAGCCATTACCACCACCATTGACACCAGCAAGCCAACATGATTCTAATGTATTGTTTTTTATATTATCTTCAAAGTTTCTGACTTTCTGTGTCTCTAATGGTTTCTTTGACCATCTGGGATGGAATTTCAGTGAGTGCCCTTAGTTATCCACATTGCTGAACAACAGTCTTCTCACTTTGTAAATCTGGAGCTGAGAAACTCCTGGGAAGCGCACCCTTCATCTGATCTGCCATTTTCTCTCTTATTTTTGTTCTTGGTGTTATTTGGGGACTTGTATTTGGAAGGGGTTCTGATTAGCATCGGTAATTTGTCACCACAAACAAAATTTTGTTCTTGAAAAATTTATCAATAAACTTATTTGATGGTCATTATTTATTGACCCCAGGACTGATGCTATATCTATTCAAAATATGTTTTTAGTTTACAAATATGTCTTTCATGTATTGTCCTCAATCACTAATTCAGTGTTTATGAGTTGTTAATTATTTGGAATTGGAATTTTAGAGTAAAATTTCTAAAACTGCCTAAAACGAAATGTCACATGGAGATGATGTTGATCTTCAAGTATTATACGTTAGGTTAATTTCTGGGTTTGATGATTGCCACAGTCTGGCTGGGCACAATTCAGGAGCCACTTGTCAAAAGAAACGAACTTTATTTTTAGAACCACACAGGCCAAACAAAACAGCTCCTCAGGAAAAACCCTCAGAGCCCAACTGCCACCACTGGCTTCCCACAAGCCTCCCACGCTCACACACGCCTCTCCCCCTCCTACAATCCTCCTACTCTTGAGGCCGATTGGCTGGGTCGCGTGGGCGGAGCCAAAGAAGTCCCCCACTGAGCAGCTCCGTGGTCTGAAAGGGCAGGGAAACAGCCCAATGAGCATCACTGCAGAGGAGCCAATCAGCTAGATGTTGCTGGGGCCGCTGTGAGCCAATCATCAGCTGGCAGTCTGAAAGGGCGGGGAAACAGCTCAATGAGCATCTCCAATGAGCATCACCACAGAGGAGCCAATCAGCTAGATGTTGCTGGGGCTGCTGTGAGCCAATCATCAGCCAGCAGCTGGAAGTTTGCTGGCAGCTGGAAGTTTGCTGGGGCCCCTTCGGCTGTGGCTCTCAACAGATGATTACAAAGAACATTTGAGAAAAGATTTACTACTGGTCTAGATAGACTAGAGAATCTTATGGAAGGGCATTATTTTAAATCATATTAGATGTGAAGGGGTGCTAAGTCTGGAATTAAATGACAGCAAATATTCCAGATGTGGGAAAGTAGAGAAGGCAGAGAGAAATAAAGCAGTGTTTCATATTGTGTATGTGTCAATTAAACGATTAACTTGATATTCTGAACTTTAACATAGATTTACCTGAGACAAAGCTGACCTAATAGTAATAATGTCATATTCTAAAAATCATTTTTATTTCTGTGAAAGTGTTTTAAATATCTGACTTGCCAAATGTGATTTCTTTTTCCTTTCCTTTTTGCAGGTTTAAAAGTAACATAAGTGACTTAAATAATAAGAATTGTGGATATATATATGGACTCTATGTTTATTATGTTTCTTGCTCTTCTAAAAAAAAAGTTATGTGTGAGAAGATGGCAAATTCAGTGAAGATTGAAAGTATATTAATGAGTGAAGATCTAGATGGAAGAATGTAGTCAATGCAATTATTTTGCTAATATCCTGAAATTGATAGGACTTTTGGACAGCATGCATCACATAGATCACACAAGTTGGATAAAAATGATATAACTAAATTGCTGCCTCTCTCTTAATATTTATGTTATCAGACTTTCTTCTTTTGCCTTATTTGCTGAGTGTAAGGTAATCTAAAACCTTATGTTCTCACCTACATACAGTCCAGATATTGTTCAGCATAAAGACAGTGTTTCTGGTAAATATAGGAATTTGAAACTAATAGTTTCCTGCTTTTCCAGAAATAAACCAAGAAAATATCTGTCTTCTAGAAAATCAGAGAAAATTAATATAGGAATAAATGTAATAATACAATATGAACAATTTTGATTTATTCTAGTAATGTAGATTAATTAAACATTTAAAATGATAAAGAAAAAACTATATAGTTTTAATAGATGTACAAAAAGTATTTGTTGATATACAATACACAATTATAAAAAAGCTTCTCAGAAAACTAGAAGAATATTTCTGTAACATTATAAAAGAGTGTTGAAATAAAACCAAACTTTAAGCAAACAAAAAACTCTAAAGTTTTAATTAACAGTTAACATCATACTTCTAATAAGAAAATGAAAGTTTTCTTTTGAGTGCTCTGGAACAAGATGAGGATGATCTTTATCAAAAATTTCATTTAATAAATCCTGTTGTCTATTAGAGGTCCTCAGTGGAATAAAACAAGAAAAAAGAAATATTTAAAAAATGGAAGAGAGAGAAATAAAACATGTTTATTTGTAAATAATATAACTATGCACATAAAAACAATGATTTATAAGCTATTAGAATAAATAATGTATCAAGGTCAGTGGATAAAATCTCACCATACAAAAATCAACCATATTTCTATGTATTGTGAATTCTATGTATGTATTTATATGTATTATTTGTATGGATTTGTATGTATTAGAGATAAAATTTTAAATTTAATAAAATTTATAATGGCACACAAAAAATTATAAAATAAGTATCTAGTAAAAATGTAGAGATCTAGTAAAAATGTAGAAAACCTTCATGTGCAAAACTTTTGTGCAATTTCCCCCTTTGTCTCCCTTTCCTAGAGATCTTTACATTCCAGCACAGAAACTTTGTACACATTCTCCAACATGTACATTTCAGTTTCAGAAGTTTACAGAGACAGTCAATTATTTTATTAAGAATACATCACTGATCAATTTCTCCTTTTGTCAAACTTTGGTTCTTTTCCTTCTCCTGCACAGGTAGGGTTCGGACACATATGCTCCATATTAAACCTGCAAGCTAACTTCCATCAAGGGGTGTTTTGCGGAAAACAACCTGCAATAGTAGGTAGCAAAAAACATCTAAGAAAACAGATGCTAATATGGGATTTGGGGTTTGAATCACCAGCTGCCCACTAGCAATGAAAAACAAATCACTGCTGTTAGAGAAGAAAAGACCACAAAGGCAAAAACTTATGGTGTAATTGTTAAAATCTTCGGAGTTGTGAAGACCTGGAATGACAAGCCAGTGGAGTCAAGATTGCATTAGGAAAATGTATCAGATACTTGAGAAATATGGGTAGAATAAAAACAATAAGTACAGTGGAATTAGGCATTTGTTGGCAATCTCAACTGACCTTTCAGAAAAATAACAAGGAAATCTGAAAGTGAATAATCAAGGAAAAAAATATAAGTGTGAATATTGATAGGTATTAAATGGAAAGGTTACCATTTCATCAATTAGAAGGCAGGAAAATAGGAACCAGTCTTAGAACTTAGTAATAAGGGGACAGAAATACAAAGGAAGTTAAAAATTTAAACTGGGAAAGCCTGTTTTGCCAGAATCAGGGTCCTCATTGAGAAAGCATAAAAGGAAGACATCTTTGGATGATAACTCCCCAAATCTTGATTCACATATTTTTACGAGACCTCAGAAGTGACCCATGTCTCCCAATTAATGACTAACACACTCTTTTTGATTAAAATATTGTATAGGTTTCCAGTTATAAGTCAAATTGCATGCTTCCCAACAAGAGCTTCATTCACCCATTCTCCTGTCCACAGGGCAAATAAAAAGATAACCTGGCTAAAGACATGACTTGTCTCATAAAAAAAAAGAGATTTTGCACCTATCTATTATGTCCCGGCAAGATAGAGAGCATACATCTGTTGAGACTTTCTAAATGCTATACAAGGTTGGTGGGAAAAGTGATGCAAAATTGAATTAGGGAAGTTTGTTAATTTAGGACCACTCTCTTGGAATAGTGAATTTAGTAACTGAAAAAAAGACTTTGAGAAATAGTGCAAACACTCTGACAGGAAGCTTTCAAAAAATGTAGAGAAATAAATGGCCCACACTAGATTAAGAAGTACCATATTTGCTTTGGTAGGAAAAAAGAAAATAAAAATTTCAAAGATGTGGAAATATTAGAGTGGGTACTATTATAAAATAGTAGTTTTCTTAAGCCAATCAAAGGACAATATTCCTGAGGAAGCAATAACATATATGCTGTTAAGAGGGTCACAACATCCTTAAGAAGCTCACCTTAATTGTCAGTGATGGTAACAATAGTAGTAATTACATAACTGAGTTAATTGATAGCAAAGTTGTTGATAGTATACTGAAACTATAGAGTGCAAATCATTGTTCATCTAGTCTAGGACATCATACTAATAAGGCCATACTAATAAGATTTTCATTGTATTCATCAGAAACATTGTTTTCCTCATTATAGATGTTGTATATATTTTATAACATTTAATTACTAACTATTTTTTGTTTGAGGATGCTCATATAAATGATGTGCTCAGTTTCAAATTTCACTCTTCCACTTGTTCATTACTGATATATTGGAAAGGAATTAACTTTTATATATTAACCTTGTGTTGTGCAACCTTAATACTGTTGCTTATTTGTTCCATTAGTTATTTTGTATTTGTTTGTTTCCTTTTCTTGATTCTCTTTGGATTTTGTATGTAAACAATAGGTGATCTGCAGACATTTTCATTTATTCCTTCCCAATAAATATATCTTTTATTTATTTTTCTTGTCTTATTTTATTATCTAGTATTTGCAGTATAATGTTTTAAAGGAATAATTAGAAATAACATCTATGTGGAAAAGTTTCTAGTTTCTCATCATTAATTATGATGTTATCTGTAGATATTCTCCATTAAATTGGAAAAGCTCCCCCCATTTCTAGTTTATTAGATATTTTTATCACGAATGGGTGTTGAATTTTGTAACATTCCTTTACATCTACTGATATAATCATATGATTTGTGTTTTTTTAGCCTGTTTATGTTCTGGATTACACTAATTGATTTTAGAACATTGAACCAGCCTTGCAAACCTCAGCTAATCTCACTTGGCCATGATGTTTAATTCTCTTTGTACATTATTGGATTTTGTTAGCTAATATTTTGTTAAGGACTTTTCATCTATGCTTATGAGATATATTGGTTTATAGTTCTCTTGTCATGATTTCATTTTGATTTACTATTAGAGTAATGCTAGGATGAATTTGAAAAGAATAGAATAGTTTCTCTTTTGAAAGAGATTATAGAAAATTGATATAATTTGTAAATCCATCTGATCTTGGTGGTTTATGCTCCAGAAGCTTATAAAAATGTGTTCATTTTTAAAAATTGATGTAGGCCTCCTTAGGTTGTCTATTTTTTCTTGTTTATTTTGACTGATTGTCTTTTAAAGGATTGATTCAAATTGATTTATTTTTATCTCAGTTATCAAATTAGTAATTTGAGTCCTCTTTTTTCTTAGTCTGGCTAAAGGCTTATTGATTTTATTTATCTTTTCAAATAATTTTGGGTTTCATGGATTTTTCTATTTATTTCCTACTTTCAATTGTATTTATTTCTGTTTAAATATTTATTTATATTCTTCTGCTTATTTTGGATTTATTTTCCTCTTCCTTCTCTAGTTTCCTAAGGTGAAGAATAGATTATTTATTTGGGATCTGTCTTATTTTCCAATATGCACATTCATTGTTATAAATTTTCCTCTAAGCACTGCTTTCTATCCATCCTACATATTTTGATAAGTTGTGTTTTCATTTTCATCTAGTTAAAAATATTTTAAACTTTTCTTAGGATTTCCCCTTTGAATAAGAAACAGTTTGGGTTGTACATTGAGATGTACAGTGAGAGGACAGAATCAAGTGTCCACAAAGAGACTCACATATAAAATAACCTGATTTATTTTTGAAAAAAGCTACTTATAGTGAAAAATAGTGGTCTTTTAAATTAATGGAGCCAAATCAACTGGATATCTGCATAGAATAAAGAGGAGCTTGCTATCTACCTTATACATAAATGCTTGTTGAAAATGCATTATACAACTAAGCACAAAAATACAAAATATAGTTTCTAGTAGAAAACATGGAGGATATTTTTGTGGTTTTATGATGGACTAATAGTTCATCAACAGGACTTCACAAACATCAATAATAAATACAGGAAAATTAGACTTAATTAAAAATAAGAGCACCATTAACAGAGGAAAAATGCAACCAGGTCTTAGAAAGGATGTCTGCTGGGTTTGTGCTAATATAACATATGCATATGCACATTTATATAGGCATTATTGTCACAATATGTAATTAACCCCTACTAATCAATAATAAAACATTCTTATTAAAAAGCAGGCAAAAAGACCTACAGAGAAAATTTATGAGAAAGGATACTCAAATTCCTGAAAGTAAAAGAAAGGTACTTAATGTTGTAGTTCACTAGAAGAAAAAAAAGTCAAAATACAGTGAATGGGACCTCTGATTCTTCTAGTTATTCACTAAATATTATTATAAATGAAAATAAATCATAAAAATTATAAGTTATAAAAAATTATAGCCACACTACTGTCCTGTAAATCACTAGAACTTATTCCTTCTAACTAGAAATGATAAATGTTTAGGCTATCAATGTTGTTTACATTGATTTGGTCAGAATGGCTTAAATTAAATATATTTCCTAGAATCCTTTTTCTTATTTGATTTCTAATCATATTTGGCCAATAAAGGGAACTCTTGAAATAACTGGAAGACAAAATTAAAGGAGAGGTCTTTATTCTCAAAACAGTGCTGCAGTCA